ATAGAAGTAATCCTTGAGCCTGTTTGGCCTCTTGGTGACCCTTCTAACTGTAGCTGAAGAACTTCTAGCCCTATGATCAGTGGAAGGCCTTGGAGGAGCAAATGAAGACCTGGCTGCTGGTGTAGTCCTTGTTGGTGCAGCCCTTCCTCTTGACACTTCAGATCTTGGAGCAGCAGAAGCCCTTGATGTGGAAATTGTGCTGGCAGAAAATGGAGTAGCTCTTGGAGCAGCTGTTGGAGTAGGTGTTGGAGTAGCTGCTAGAATAGGTGTTGGAGCAACTCTTGGAGTATGAGTAGGAGTTGCTAAATTTCCTGTTGCAGCTCTTGGAGCAGCCCTATTTTCCTAAAACAAATTAGGTCCAGCCCTATGTATCAGAAACAGTTTTTGCTAGCATCTTTGGAAATTAAAGTGAAGAAATATAAATGTACCTTGTGCTTGTTTTTCCTAACAGCAAGTGCCGGCTTTAGAGCATCTTGGCAGTTTGTGTACCTATGTCCCTTCCTTCCACAATTATTGCATGTAATTGTTCCAACCCTAGATGTGTCCTTTGGTTTTGGCACCTCAAATTGTCCCTTTCTTCTTTGGATCTGTTTTCTGCCCTTCTTCATATGAAACACATGTGGATCAATGTCCCTTGTATCAGTTCTTGTCCAAAGATCAGGACCTAGAACAGGGTAGATCATTGGTTTGTATGCTTCAACATACATTGGTTTCTTGAAGAATGTATGCACAAAATCCTCAGGTTGCTATTTCGATTTGTATATGGCAGACACAACATGGTTACATGGTACACCTATCATATCCCATTTCCAACAGCCACAGGTCCACTCTTTCAAGTTGACAGCACAAGACTTCTCACCATTGTTGACTTGGAATAGATCTGGGCCTGCCATCATGGCCTTGCAATTCCTAGCCCATTCCTTGGCCTCTTCTAGCATCTCTGCATATGTTGGGGTAATTTCCCATCTGGCAGTTTACCCTCCAATCCTTTTCTCATTGGACTTGACCATCAATTTTCTCCTGGCACCTTCAACCATTGTTTTAATGGGGTTTCCCCTAATATCCAAAATTACCCTATTGAACACCTCACTAATGTTGTTAACTACTAGGTCAGTCTTACAGTTTGTGTCCATGGCATGCCTAGCCCATGTATAAACAAGAATTTTCTTGAGCCACAACCATGCATCCTCACTCTCCTTTCGAATTTCTTCCATTGCTAACTTAAACCCATTTTCAGTGTAAGAGTAAGCAACTGGATCTATATATTTCTTAAGTTCATCCCCCCTAAAGCCAGCACTTTGGAAATTTGCATAAATGTGCCTTAAATAGTATCTTTAAGGGCAATTTGGAAATACTTGGTCAATGGCATTGAGAAGACCCAGATGACAGTAATAAAGGCACTAATTTAGTCACTAACTATGTTTTGCAACTAGTATTCCTAAGTAAGAAATAAAGGCACTAATTTAGTCACTAACTATATTTTGCAACTAGTATTCCTAAGTAAGAAATAAAGGCACTAATTTAGTCACTAACTATGTTTTATAACTAGTATTAATTTACCTTTTGCCTATCTGAAATAATTGTGTAGAATCTAAATTCTCCAGATTCTCCACCAATAGCTATCTTTAGTTGAGTGAGAAACCAACACCAACTTGGAGTATCTTCCTTCTCAACTACTCCAAAAGCTAGTGGATATATGTTATTGTTTCCATCTCTACCTGTAGCAGCTAGGATTTGTTGACCTGTGTTCAACTTCACAAAGCAACCATCTAGACCTGAAAACAATTACACAAGACCATAGTAAATTTCACAGAACTTTAATATGCTACACTTGTATATGAATTGCACTAGTAACATACATATGAAATGTCTACATCCTTTGAGAAAACCATCCCTTTGAGCTCCCAAACAAATGAACAGCCTATGAAATCTAGGATTTTTGCTTGGATGCTCTTTCACAACTCTTATTGTCACAATGCATCTGCTTCCTGGGTTAGTGTCCAGCACAGCCTGGAGATAGTCTCTTATCCTGGTATAGTGTGCTTCCTGATCACCTTGGACCACACTAAGAGCTTGTTGTCTTGCCCTATAAGCCTTCATTTTCCCAACCTCCACACCAAACTTCGCCTTTGTCTTGTCTATCATAGTCTCAATTCCTGCTTTTGGATCTGTCCTGAAACTATCCTCAACTGCTTTGACCACATACCTAGCAGGAATCTTACAATTCTCACCACTTGGAGCACATGTATGCTCTAATTGCAACTTGCTAATATAAAATATTTTCTCATTTGCGATAACAGATGCAACCATGTGGAAGGGGCAGTCTTTCTCAACACAATCAACAATTACCCTGTCTTTGTTATTCCTATGGTAATGGAAGTTCCTTCTTTGAGTGACATGAAGATTAAGCAAAGCTCTCTTGAACTAATAAACATCAGTAAAACACATGTGAAAACATATTTGCTCCTGTGTGGCAAGCATGTTCTCATCATACCATTTCCTGGCCTTCCTCTTCTTTGTCCTTGACTTCCTGCCAGATGAGGAGCAGTACAACACAATCTCTTCATCTGAATCAGCTTCAAGTTCCACATCTATGTCCTCATCAGACAATGGAACATAGTCTTCTTCAAGTTTAGCTTCTGAACTACAATGAGATCTTGTTGTGGGTCCTCTTCTAATAGGCAATTTCTGCATAGGTGCTGGTTAACAAAGCCCTCTTCTTCCTCATCAGGTCTGAACTACAAAATTAATCTTCTGGCTCAGAATCACCTTCAAAAACCCTCTTCCTCTTCAGGTCTTTTATTTTCACATGTAGGTTTGCATCCTCATCCTCTTGCTCATCTTCAGAGCTATCAGAATCCATCAGATCTTCCTCCTCCATGTTTTCTTCATCCTCCATGCTATCTTCTTCCATGTTATGTTCTTGCACTTCTGGCATGTCAGTAAACTAATTAAGGAAATCATCAAGCTCTGCAATAGTTGTCCCCTTCCTCACATTTCAACTCTCCTGAGTGATAAGATATTCTCCAAATGAGTCCTCTATGTGTACACTGACAATTGGAGCAGAACATGCTGCTTGTTCTGCTTTTTCACTTGACTGCATTGCATATAGCACACCTTCTTCATCTACAATGTATATTTTCGGTGAACCTATCTGTGAAATAGGAATTTGCTGCTCATCTCCGATGTTAACCTGCAATTCTGGCCTCTCACACTCTCTACCTTTCATAACAGTGATAGTAACACACATCTTGTCCTCATATAACTGCAGCATCTCTTCAACATCTTCATCACTCCTGATTAGTTGCATTCCTAACATTCCTACACTATCTTCATTCACATAATACATGAAATCGTTCTGATGATAGCCCTGAATCCCAATGATAGCTAACATATTCAGATATGTTATATCAGCCTCCTTTCCAGATTATCACAACCTTGGAAATGGAACCTCACTTCCCATGGTTTATCATCATCCAAACTACAATTTATGAACAGTTCACTTAATAGTACATTCAGTTAAAAAATACAATTTCACTTAAACTACATTCAGTTAAACTATAATTCATGTCAAAACAAATTCAGTTAACACTACATTCAGTTAAACTATAATTTATGTCAAAACAAATTTAGTTAACACTACATTCAGTTACACTATAGTTCAGTTCCAATGTCAGTTAACACTACTTTCAGTTAAACTAGTTGCAAATATTTTCAGTTAACACTACTTTCAGTTAAACTATAATTCAATTCCAAATAATTTCATATAACACTACAATGTATATTGAGTACACCTCAAGATAGCTAAGACATACAAGAACAAATAAACATGAACAATTCAGTTAACCCTAATTCCTAAATTTAGTTGGTTAAGAGCAAAGTATAGACTACATGAAAAATTATACAGATCTAAGCATTCCTAGCCAATTCAGAAAGTTAAGAGGAAAAAGAAGACTCACTCCACGCCGCCTAGGCCAGAGGTGAAGTGGTGACTTTGCGCGGGATTTGCCTTCCAGACCTGGGCCAATGATGATGCCGCCCGCGAAAAAATGTCATCGGAGGTGGGCTTGAACTTGCTGCCGCCTTGCTCGTCGAGCTCCTCTCCGCCGCCGGTGAAAGGCCCACTGTTGCCAGCAACCCTAGCAGGGGGCGGTGGGAGAGTGAGGAGGGGCCGTGGGAGAGCGATGAAGGGCGGAGCGGGCACCAGATTCAACAAAACTGAGGTCACTGCCGGCACATCCGCCGCCGCCGCCGGCGGCCATGGGGGAGATGTGAGCACGAGCGGGTAGCCAAGGGGGAGTTGAGACACAATTTGAGGGAAAATGGTGGTAGGGTTCGAGCTCGTTAAGTTTAGACCGACGCCATCTAACGGCACGTCACGGCCGCCGTCTCGCCCTGGCTGACAAAGGGACCCACTGGTCAGAAATCCACTCAACGCATTTTTCGAAAACTATCACCCCAATGTTGGTGGTTCTTTGAAGAAAAAACCCTGAAAATTAGGGTGTCCAATTGTGATGGTTTTTTACAATTTACTCAATTATGGCGTTCGCTTGGATGACCTCCGTAGGGAGTTCAAGTGACCTCTCTGAGCTGCCATAAGGCCATTATTAGCCCTAATATATTTTAGGTGCGTTTTTATTAGTAGTTTACTTTCTCAGCGTCTCCTGTCGTCATCATAACGCTGTCATTGCAAGATTGTTCTCCAACCGTGTGTTCCTGTGTCGTGTCTGTTCCTATGTCGGTTCATGCACAAAGCCAAAGAAGAAAAAAATCGAACAAAGAGAACCAAAAAGCAGCACGCCTGCCGCGACCGCTTCTACTAAACTTCAATTCACTGGGGATTTCTGGACAACGGTTGTACACAACAGATCATAGCATCCTCTTGTTACTAGAGATATATGTACATAAACACGGTGACGATACATCCTGATAACAGGATTGCTATTATTGTAGAATGCCGAGGCGCAGTTCCAGTATTATGGTAAGAAACCCACAAGAAACTACCGCCCAGCAGGGCAGATATCTTCCAAGCTGCAACAAGGGAAAGACATTTTCAAATGAAAGAACCGTCATACAAGATTAAAATCTAGTGCTGACACAACAGACCTTTGGCCCAAGAACTCAATGATGTCAGTAGTGACAGTTGATCTCTTGTTCTTTTCAAATGCAAGCGCCGCAGCTTTTCTGAGCAATAGAGAGCCAGCTATGCACCCAAGAACCATAGGATTCACACTGCATTGCGCGAAAGCAAAAATCAGATCTTATTAAAATGAGAGAGTTAGATTATTAGTGATGAACAGGAATGAGCATTACCTAGTCTCTTTAGGTTGCTCATTTGACAAGAGAAAGTGCCGTGCCCATGATGAAAATACTGCCACGCTGTCATCAGTTAACAAGATTAGACAACAAATCCACCAACCTTGGTTTCAAATGGAGTGTGTTTGAGATACAGGAAACATAAAATTTCATGGTTGCTTGTATTATTATTTTTCGTTGATTGAACGCCCAAAAAAACCATACATAAGACGTCGAAAAAGACCATTCAGTGATGCCCGAAACTTAATGTTGACCTATCATTATCATTATCATTATTATTTTTAGATAATACTTCCTCCGTTCCTAAATATTTGTCTTTCTAGAGATTTCAACAAGTGACTACATATGGAGCAAAATGAGTGAATCTACACTCTAAAATATGTCTATATACATCCGTATGTGGTAGTCCATTTGAAATCTCTAAAAAGACAAATATTTAGGAACGGAGGGAGTACTAACCATCCACCTTACAAGTGTACAGCTAAGGTTGGGAATTATCGGAAGTTGTCCAATTAATTATGGTAAAAATGTATCTATTAGAAAAAAATTTGAAGTGTAAGCAACACACAAAAGTGAATCTCAAGTAATTTAACTACAACAGTATAATCCTGCGAAGCAATTATGGATCCAATACATATGTTCCAAGCATTAGATGCAGATGTGCTGTGCAAACCTAAACACATATCACGTGAGCTCAATAGAAGTATGCTTGTGTGGAATGAGTTTCATTAATTTGCTGTGGAAAATATAGCCTAGGTACACATCATTTGAAGTTTAGAAGCGTCAAGCCTCAAGCGTGTTTGTGATTCGAATCAACTACCGTTACAATCATAAAGCCTCTAAAGTTTAGAGAGAGCAGGCAGGTTAGAGTACAAATAACCACTCTATGTTCATTCATTTGGTTACCCAAAAACAGATGTTAAAAAATGCATCCTTACCATTAGAACACTAATATTGGTGAAAGAGGAGACAAACATTAGCATAAAAGTGTATTAATGGTGTGTACAAATGTAAAACTGTACATATTACAATGAGATAAACAGTCAGCATGACACAAAGTACAGCGAGGAATACTCAGCACCGAGAAGCCAACAGACCTTCCAGAGAGAATGTCGCCTTGACCACCACATCGCCTCGGAGAACCAAAGGTACTCACTTGTGTGACTTCAGATAAAGAAATATCCAGTAGTTCAAACAAAATGTAGTTAGTACTAGTAGTAGTCACAGAGAATTGCAGCATTTTACACAAAAAGATGAGGCCATGAAGAGTAAGCACATGTATTTCAAGCATGAGCTTAACAGTTGTAACCAAGCAGCTTTGCAGTATACCTTTTTTACCATCACTAATTACATCTGCTTTTCCTTTCTTCATGATGGTTACACCACCAATTCTGAAAGAAAACAAGGTTACAGATGAACATTAAAAGAAAAATGTAGTAAATATTGTGCTCATACTTTTGGCAAAGTGCAGTCAGTTGCTCAGAAGCATTTTCCTCATTTACTTCACAGTTAAGAATCTTCTGGACAAGACGCTTGTACTCGTATACATTTGGCGTTAAGATGGCAAGAGAGTTGTCTTCAACAAGACCAATGTTATTGGTTATAAGGAAAAGGCCATCCTGCAGACCATACAAAACAAATTCAAGTTTCACCCCTAATTTGGAGTACAAAAGGTAATTAAATAAGTTCGAGTCATACCCCATCAACGACAATTGGGATATTAGCCTGTCGTGCATGCCTCATTATATTACTGACACAATCCTACAAATAGGCAAAGTGAAGTAAAGGTAAGACAGAAGATAACCTAAATACTATCTTATTCTTACTGTACTTAAACCTAGATGACAGAATCTCAACAAAAAACCATTGATGTGATTGTGAGACGGTGATACAAAATAGAAACTTTCATAATATCGAAACATTATTGAATTGTTATATTTCTTCTACTCTCCAGATTTCTATCTAACAGTTTAACCTCCATGCCTAACGATTCTAAGTTTGTGTGCATATTAACTCCACCCTACAAAGAATATATCCCTGAACTTCCATGCCTAATGATTCATGACCGAATACATGTGTATATAAACTCCACCCTACAAATCTGGCAACTTAATGACTGCATACATCTTTCATATTGGAAAGATCGTCAAATTAGATTCGATAAAACGTTTTGACTTAACTAGCACAAATACACATATAAATACCACCTGATTAAAGGTTCAAGCTGGCCTCAAAACAATAAATGCAGAAGGAACAGAAAATTTTAAATACGAAGATGTTTAAGGGGTCAAATAAGGGCAATGCAGCAACAGTCACAACTAGCAAGTAGCAACCAATGAAAGCAAGAATAAAGAACTAAACAGGACAGAAATATTAATTATATTTTCAGAAGATGTTAAAAGTATGCAAGCAAACCATAAGAAATGAGTCCCTTCCAAGGCCGGGGCCAACAACAATGCAATCAAAGCGCTCCACCCACTTTATAACTTCAGTGAGAATGCTAGAAGAAACAGATTCTCTTTCATCATCCCTACAAAAATAGACTTGAGGTTATCGGAAACATCATATTGATATTACACTGTGCTACAAAATTCATCTAAAATTACCTTACGCTGTAGGACTCCTCTAATATTGGATGCACAATCAACTCAGGGCTATAGCTCTTGATTACTGTTGCAGCATCTTTTGTGCAGAAAACATGTGAGAGATCTGCACCCTAAACAACATGTGAAACATCAGCATCGACGTGCAATTCATGTGGGTAAATTTTAGAAGATACTGACAACTTTCAATGCAGAGATAGCGGCAAAGTAAGGAGCACCAGTGTACTCGCGACATCCACCAATTATTGCTATCTTCCCTGGAAAGCAACAATGACATGTCACCGATAAGTTTGAAGAATTTTTTTGTTGCAATTTGAGAACATCCAAAAACAAAATGGAATGCACAAGCCACAACTTTAAATAAGATTTAACACCCATTAGAAAGGTCCCACCCCAGAAATTACAACTGTTACACTTTTCTTAGAGCTGAGACGCTGAAAATATATAAGATAAGGTCAATTGCGTGCACAGGATCTCTTCAAAAGGTTGCATATGTATAATTCAATGCCGAAATTTGCTGTCATAATCTAAGCCTGGCCACCAGAGATGCTCACAAGAGTTGCATGTCTTCCAATGAAAAACATAAAAACATAAGAATTTAACATCCACAAAAAGTTACTTTTTTGGTATCCCTGAACATAGGATTGAAGAAAAGTACACACATCTGTCGATAGTTGGTCCCGTGTATTTAGCATTGTCCATTGTATTACAAAATATAATTAGTTGGATTCATATTTTTCACCTTTAAAAAAATGTGTTTTAAAGAACACATGGTATTCTCTAATCTTCTGCTTTGTACATGCATTGATATCAAAATCCTTCCTGTCATGTAGGCTCTTATATGATGGTGCTTGTCAGCTGTCAGCCATGGGTCATAGTCAGGCATGCAGCTCGCCTAGTCTCTACAAGCCCCACAGCTCCAGCACCTGCAACTCCCAACAACAACGCAGAGCACAGATCCCAAAATAGGCTTCCAAACTGGAGGCGGGCCCCAACTCAACATACCCGAAACACCAATTCTCTCCCATGCTGCATGATGTTTCTTCGGGATGATGCCGCATGATCTTCCCAGTTCCAACAAAGCCAAAAGTTAATGCTCAAATTTGTATTAATTTCATGACATTTAACATCTGAACCACAATCTACAGTCATGATGGACATTTAACCCATGGGATCGGGTACCATGGGTACCCAACCCGACAGGTAGGGCATGGGTTTCTTGTTTCACAAATAGGCAAAACCATGGGGCCTCCTATTATGTCGTGGGTCGGGTATAGGCTCGGCTTTCCGCCCATGGGCAACCCAATGGGTGCCTGAGTGAACACTAAATATTTAAAATTTCTTGTTAGGCATCAATGAGCAATAAGTCTTTGGTGAAGATACATACAAGAGTTTGAAAGCCATAAATCCCTATTTCACCATACTCCACCCCGCAAGGCCGCCTCTATCATGGCCACTCCACTTGTATGTCTCATGATCTCTCCAGGCACAACATCTTGCTCCGGTGGCCAGCGTCTCATCTTCAAGCCAGCGAGCACTGTGTATGTCCAGCCGAGCAACCACCACATGGTATGCATTCGTGGATCCTCCCCATCTTGACGACCATGGCTATTGTTGTGGGCAGGCGGTGGGCACACTGTTTTTTTTTCTTTAAATACTCAGCTCATCGGTTGCTAATTAAGCCCAACAACCAACATACCAGTTGCATCTCAAGCTCAGTATAAATCTTCTATCTCAAGAAAAACATGCTTGGTATAAATGCTAGATAAATCCATTTATCTATTGCTCCACATAGCTTCTTTTGTGGTGAGGTACTTAGTGCTCTAGGCTTAAAAGGAAAATTCCACATTGTAAAAACATTTGAAAGAAAGAATCTGACGGCTAGAGGTTGAAGACGGAGGGGAACCCTGGGACGGGAATCCAATGCTGGCTGAAAATCGACTGTGATTTCACAAATTCTCATGTTAAGGAAACAAGCCTAGGTGGTGAACACTGCCCTACAGGCGCCCACGATATTTTCTCCAATAGCTTGCCTGGCCTAGGTGGTAAACTTTCCCTATACCTAAATGCCCTCTCGGCCCCTGTTGACACTGCTCACAGGTAAGGAAACAATCTGCTTCAACCCCAAGACTCTCGCTACTTCTGCGATCTACAACCCAAGATCACTCCGCGCTGAGGCATTCCAACGAACACAGAGTGCGCAAGTGTGAGCATCGTCGGCCCAATCCATTACCTAACACGCACGCAAGCACATAGCGCGGGCCAGCAAGGAGCTAAGACGGGCGGCTTACTGACCTGCCTGACCCTTGTGCCTTGCGCGGTCGAGCGGCGGCGTGATTCGCCGGACCACCGCCTCCGCGTCCGCCTCGTACACCGGCCCGGCCGCCGCAGACATCGCGTGGGGACGAAGAGAGCTCGAGGAGGCACGGCCGCCGTCTGCGCAGGTGGGCGCGAGAGAGCGGAGCAGGAAGAGCTGCCTGCGGAAGGCCGGGGAGGCGGCCCACATGCGGCCGCGGTGCTGTAGCTGGTGCTGCCACGCGTGGGGGCACGCGCCCATTGACAGGCTCATCGTCGCCTCACCCTGTTCGGCATTATACATACGTTTGATGAGTCATGGTTTCGCTTTTTTTTTTTGCCAAACCATGCTCTTTGGAATTGGAAAGTCCTAGAAGAATGTTGTGGCTTGTGGGCTGCGGCTCAATCAGTCGATAATGTGCTTCGTTGTCTATATCTTTTTGTCAATTATTATTTGAAAAAATATACGACGAAAAAGGATTTCCCGGCTTTATATATAAAGCAACCATCACCGAACAAGCCGAAAAACATACCCCCTCTGTAAACTAATAGAGAGAGTATATATTTATATTGTATTACTTACAGAGGGACTATATATTCATGAAATGCTCACCATAAGTTTTTAAAATCGAGCATTGTTGAGCAGACAAAAACGTAATATTTGTAGAGATAGAAAAGCCATATTCTTTGTGTAGAAATCATATAGACCTAAATAGGTCATCCTGCAAACTATTTCTTTTAATATGCAAACATCTCATCTCAAACTACTTATATTTATTAATATTTTATACCTATACAATAATTAACTATAAGGAATCCATTCACAAAATAAATAAATATAAGAAGTCCTCTTTATTTCCAGTTTAGTTCTCATATTATAAATTAAAATATTCATGTTCCAATCTCATTCATTTATATTGTAACACATTTCCGCCGTCGAGTGGTCGAGCGGCAGGCGCGATTCGCCGGACCATCGCCTTCGCGTTCGCCTCGTACACCGGTCTGGCCGCCGCCGATTCCGCATACACTACTAGGAAAAACCCTAGTAGTTACGCTTGTTTTGTAGCTAGCAGTAGCGCTTGTACAAGCGCTATCACTAAGGCGCTACAGCTAACTGTTAGCAGTAGCGCTGGAATACCAGCGCTACTGCTATATCTAGTTAGCCGTAGCGCTTTCTCTAGGAAAGCGCTACAAATAATAGGAAGTAGCAGTAGCGTTTCTTTAGAAAAGTGTTGCTGCTAACTTTTCCTGTATTTTTGAAAATACAGCTTATTTCCGTTGTGGTCTTATTTTCGTTGGGGTCTTATATACAGTACTTTCATCATATGATTTTATTATCATGATTAGTTATTATATATAACAGTGGGTGAAATGAACGTGGAGTAGATTCAAGTGGAGACAACATGGGGTGCATGTCGAAAGTACTACTAATCCAAACTTGATCTAGTTTGGATTAGTAGTACTTTCGATGTGCACCACATGCTGCCTCCACTTGAATCTATTCCATATTCATTTCACCTACTGATATATATAATAACTCATCACTCATCATGCTCATATAACAACTTAGCATCATGCATCATCGATCATAATAATAAATAACTCATCATTGATATCATAATAACAAGTCCTACTCATCATCATCGATCATACAACTTCTACTCGATACCACATCATCATCATAGTCATCTAACCAATCCTATTTAGTTGTTCTTAGCACATGATCATGAGTATCAACACGGGTTGACTATCGGTCCGTCGAGTCTTTTTTTATAAAACTCTCAGCTCACGTGGTGTATATATTCGATCGTTGGTGATGATCGCTCCTCCCTTCGTCCCCGAGTGCATTAAACCAAAATGTCTAGCACACGAGAACGAAGGAGAAGCGACCCCCACGACAACAGTTGGCATTCTTCTTCTCTCATATATGATGGACACACTCCCTCACTGATTGTTCGACCGTCGGTGATGGTCGTTACTCCTCCTTCCCCTAGTGCCTAACAAAGGTCTAGCACACGGAGAAGAAGGAGAAACGACCCCCACGACAACAGTCGGGTTTCTTCCTCTCTCATATATGGTGCAGACTTTCTCCCTCACTCATTTTTTGATTTTCATGTATGGAGCTCGATAGACTTAAAGTCAACCCGAAATGTCGTTTAATTATCTTTCTAGAAAATCCAGGTCACTCGATATTTCCTGCATATTCTAGCACAAGTCATGCCAAAATTTATGGAAAAATCCGGCATGATCTTTGCTAAAAAAAGACATATTGAGCGCCTGAATTTGCCGGAACGGAAATTAATCAACACTCCGGCAAACACATAGGCCACTCGGAGGTGTTACCTGTAAACATGGCCACTTGGACAAGCACATATCCTATTTGCATTCAAACTTGATGATCATTGCATTCAAACTTGATGATCATTGCATTTCAATGGTTGAAAATATGAACAAAAACATTTCAAAATATCTTATAGGATTCATATTGACATGGAGATTTGGCTAGTCTCACCTTGAGGTTGGAGGGGGCCTGTGACGGGGATGACGACGGGGACGACATGGAGATTTGGCTGCAAAAACAAAATAGTATTCAAAATAGTGCTCTCCAATTTGAGCATTCAAAATATGAGTAATTCTCCAATTTGCTACTGTTTTTTTAAACTTTGATACTGTTTTTTAAATTTTTTTGCTACTATTTTTTATGCCTAATTTTTTGCTAACTTGCTATTTTTTTTTGCTAACTTGCTAAAAAAACAAAAAATAAAAATTTGCTAATCAGCTACTGCCCTAATTTGCTAAGAAATGTTGATAACTTTGCTAAATTTGCTAACTTTGCTATTTTTTTGCTAAATTTGCTAACTTGCCCTAAAATTTTATACCTAATTTGCTAACTTGCTAACTTGCCCTAAAGTTGGTAACTTTGCTAACTTGCTAACTTTGCTAATTTTATACCTAATTTTTTTGCTAACTTGCTACAAAAATTTGCTAACTTGCTAAAAAACAAAAAATAAAAATTTGCTAATCAGCTACTGCCCTAATTTGCTAAGAAAAGTTGATAACTTTGCTAACTTGCTACTGCCCTAAATTTTTTTTGGTAAATTTGCTACTACCCTAATTTTTTTACAGAGAGAGAGGAGGGCAGGGGAGAGGAGAGGGAGAGGAGGCTGGGGAGAGCAGAGGCTCACGGCGAGGGAGCTCGGGCTCGGGCGGTGGCGGTCGAGGGCGGTGGACGGCGGCGGCGGCGAGGTCGAGGGCGCGCGGGCAGGGGAGAGGCGGGGGCGGCGTGCGACAAGGTCGAGGGCGCGCAGGCAGGGGAGAGGCGGGGGACGGCCGGCG